CTGTTGTCTCACATTCTTCCTTTTGCCGCACCCGCCCACAACACCGCCGCTGAAACTTGAATTCCGCGTCGATCCCTGATTGTCGTCCTGCCCATCCCCGCATCCGTCACTACCGCCTGAATCGTTCCGACCTCCAGGCCGGCCTGGCAGTTGAACACCTCCCGCCGCACCCGTGTCCGCCAGATTCGTGGGGTGTATAGTGTGATCGCCCTTGGACATGGTCATCATCTCCGAATACACACGCTCGTCCATCCGAAATCGAACCCCCGCTCCTTTCTCTCCCGCGGCGTCCGTGTGAAGAAATCAAGCTTCCCCGATTCTCCCATGAACTTGTGCACAATTTTGAACTGCGTCTACAGGTTGTCCCATTTTTTCCCGCAGTCGTCGGCCTTTCTAGTCGTCACCCCCATCTGCAGGAGCCTGCTCTCGATGTCGGCCCACTTCCATGTCTTCGTCTTCATCCTTCCCATGTTGTGGCCGAGGCCAGCAAGATGCAAATCCTGGTCTCTTTTAGCTCTGACAAGAGCAATCATGTGTTCCACGGTCCAAAAATCCCTGCTTTTCGCTCCGTCGCCTGTCGACGCATCTCCCGCAGTCTTCTTGCCTCTCCGCCCCGCGCGCGGCTCACTGGACTTGCTCGTCGCCCTGGGCCCTCCCCGTTTCTTCCCCAGCGGACGAATCTCCATCTCCCCGTCGTCGTCGTCGTCGTTGTCATTGCCCCCGTCGCCTGCCGAACAATCTTCACCACCCGCACCGTCGCAATCACCGGGTGTGTCGTCCGCCCGTACATTGATCTTCGCCACCCCTCTCGTTATGGCGGACGTGCTAGATTGACGCGATTGTCGCCGGTAATCATCCCAAACCTCTCGCCCCGCGACCTCCGCAGCGTAGCCGTCAGCGTCATCCCCTCCTCGGTGGACTGCGCCGCCTGCCCTTATCGATCCACCTGTCCTCGTTCCCGCCGCGCGAACACCTGTTGTGCCCACTGCCGCCCGCCCTCGCGAAACGAGTCCACGATCGTCGCCCGACTGACCAGAACCCCGGCCGCGGGTGTCAGGAAGGCCACACGGCCCCACCGAAGGCGCTGTGTGGTTGCTGGCAGAACCCGGGCTCACGAGAACGGTGTGCGTGATGTCCTGGCCACTCCCATACCTCAAACCGAAGCTGAGATCTACGAGCCCTCCGTCATAACCAACCGGGGTCCGCCCCTCCAGCAGATCAGTGTACGTCGGCATCGAGGGCTGTCTGTACAGCTGGCTCCCCATCCAATCATGCGTCGAACCGCTGCCCAGACGAACCGTTGATGATCGGGGCTCGTCGCTGTCGTTGTCACTCGGAGGCAATGGAATCTCGTGGGACGGCAGGTGGCTGTACAGCGTCGGGTCGTACGGGCGCGTGCCGCCTTCCGCAGAGCTGCAACACTAACGTGACGACCCGCCAGCCCCTACGGACATCGTCCTCTTCGTCTGCACCTTCTCCATCTTCCCGGTCGCCTTCGTCGTTCGCCGCCTCTGTTTCCTCCCAGGGACGCGACCGAGGATGCAGATATCAAAGACGACAACGGCAAGCAGCAGTACAGCGGCAAGCAGCAACAAAGGCAGCCTGCGGCACAGGTCAGCCATGAAGGAGAGGGGACGCACTTGGCTGTCGCGATCGCAGCGACCGGAGACACACGTTGCATGAGGGAAGACGCCAACGTACGAAATTGCTGCAACCACCGGCCGGGGGTGGACGCTTAAAGAAATTCATGTTTCCGACCGTTGGGCAGCCCGCAGTAACGCTACGACACCTCCACGACCCGCCCGAAATCGTTCGATGCCCGGCACGGCACCGCCGTGGGGCCGCCCGACGAACCGACAGGGACGTACCGCCAATCCCCGACAACGGTAAAAAGACGCGGCCATTCGTGGACGTTTTGGACGTTGGCGCCTCGCGATGTCCGTCTTCAACACGGAGGACCATCACTGGACGCTGACAACCCAATTATCGCGGATCCTCGGACTCCGACCACCAATTTCCCTTTTCGACTCGCCGCCGACACCCCGATTATCGCGGATCCTCGGACTCCGAGGGACCTCGCGAGGTCCTTTGGAGCCGAGGAGGATTTGGCTGGAAAATCCTCGGAGCCCAAGGATTTGTCCTCGGAGTGTTTTCACATTTCGGTTTCGAAAATCGGCTCCGAGGACAGGTGGAACGAAGACAAAATCCTTGGAATCACGTCCCCGAGGTGTGTCGAACGACGCCCTTAGTCCTGGGTAAGATTTGGGGGGTACTTGGGTCTACCCATGGGGCCCGTAGAGAGAATGCTTACACCTACGGGTAGTGGCCTTTTAAGTACCTGTATGACAGGGCTCCTCCAAACATGCTTCAACTGAGGCTGGACAGGTTCCTGCGTAGCATCCGGTGCCTGCTATGGCTGTCTGGTCAGGTCAAGCCACCAAGATGGTAGAAGACTGATTGTCCAGAGTGGTAGACACTGAGGTCACGCTGGCAGAGTGGGGGTGTGCCCGGGAGAATTGACAAAAGGAGGATGGGTGGGGTCTCATAAGGGCCTTATGAAAGAAAAGAGGAAATAAGGGGTAAGAGGGCATTGAGAGGTTGGGGGGAAGGGTGGGGTCAACCACAGGGCGCCGACCTGTAGCTGAAAGCGGTCGTCGCAGAGTTTAGATGGCAGGCAACCCCCACACGACATACATTCTCCTGTTGGGGGCGAAGGACATACCAGAGAGATGGGAGGGAGGGAGGGGGCAGTGCTGAGTGGATTACTGGCAGGTGTTCTCTCTTAGATGCGCCTGTCCACAAACACGTCCAGATTCGATCGTCCATGCCAATCNTTGACTGAAAAGTGGCCGTCAGATCTCCAATGCGATGGATCGTCGGATTGACTGAAAAGTGGCCGTCAGATCTCCAATGCGATGGATCGTCGGATCGACGGAAAAATCGGCGGGCCTCCTCGTAAGTTTTTCAAACTTCCAAAAATCGGCGGGCCTCCTGGAATTGCGCTCAACAACTTCAACTTAAACAAAAACTCTGAAATTCTGAACGTTACGTGCACCCCAGGGCCTGTAGAATATCTTCTCTACGGAATTCGCATACCCACACGCGTCGCCCATGACCAACCACCATATCTTCGTTGAATAAGCGAAGAGATCTAACCTTGTCTTGCTCAGATAAGCGAAACAATATAACCTTAGGGAATACAAATAGATTAGTAGGAAGTTCTCACGTGATTCTGGACATAAAATGTGGTCAAATACGTGCAGGTCCAGCCGTAATTACGGTCGGATTCATTCAGGAGAGTGGGTAGCGTGAGTACCCCCTTATCCTCCTTGGGATGATCCAAGTGAAGCTGCTTACTTCTTTCCACATCGCGACCAGATTCGTACTCTCTCGGACTCCTACCCGCCCATAGAGGAGGGGGGGTGGGGGGGGGGGAGGGTAACTGAAACCAAATCCATGGAGCTAATAACTCAACAAACAACCCACACAAAACCCCTTTTTTAACCCCAAATGCTACCCCTTTCCTTCGCGCTCTACTTTGCGTCTAGCATTTTTTAGCATTTCCTCCAAAGGAAGAAGTGTTCTCCAGAAAGCTATCTCTGCCATCTCAAAGCGAGCAATGCAAGTTCGCCACATCCATACATCAACTCCTAGACCGCAAGTTGCCCTGAAATTCCCAAATACAGCTATAATGACCGAGCGTTCTCGTCGGGGAAAGACGGTGCCTGTGTTAATGATCTACGGCCAGGAGTTCATCCCAGTATTTTTTTTTCAATGCAAGCAACACCGTATGCGCGGCTGTTCATCTCCCCCGACAGACATGGGTCGGCATTTCTTTCGCGGTTACAGCAGTATGCCCGACATAACGTCCCTACCATCCTCCCCCCAAAAAACAACGCACCCCGATTATGACTGCATCGAACCGGGAAGATGGCTTGTAGACAATCAGAACGAGCGTGCGTTGTGTTTTTCCGGGGGAAGCTGTGGTAGCTGCCTACCTCTGTAATGCCACTATCACCGGTTCACCGCAGCTGCTTACACGTTGCCCTCGGTGATGCAAACTCCACCAGAATCTATCCGCCAAATCTCAAAGAGTATCCTGCAAGTCGATCCGAGCCGTAGATCGACTACTGGCCATCTTCACCGGATTAGAACGCCCGGTCATTATCGCTGCATCTGGACTAAAAGAGGCCCCAAATACAGCTGTAATCACCCGGCGTTCTATTGGGGTGAAGACGGTAGCCGGCTGTAAGTACAGTATCTTCAATATGAGCCATAACATAACAGCAGCTCTTCGTCTCGCTCAACACCTCAACCGAACGATATGCTTCTACATTTCCCTTCTCCGCAAACGTGAAATCACTATCGTCAACAAGAGATCTCTAGCTGCTTAGCACTATAACATGGCTATCACATTCATCACTGACACAGGATGTTTTACGCTATGCTCCTCTCTGGGCAACCTACACTGCTGCACCCCCAAACACAAACACACACAGACAGAGATAGAGATAGAAGTCTAGTGAAGATCTGAGGACAACACAGACAGAGGGACAGAGGCGACACCACCCCTCTTTCCCCGAATAGAACGTACGGTCACTACGCCTGTATTTTGGGCAACTTTCAGTCTAAATACAGGGATAACGACTGTACGTTCTATGCGGGGGAAGACGAGCAATGATATGTGTGCGAGGCAATTGAGGAAGATCAGTGCAATCCTTTTTTCTTCCCCAGAAATTTCCAGCAGTGCGTGTTTGTCTCTTTGCAAGCCAACAACTGACAGAGATAGATATACACCTGGAGAAGACACACACACACACACACACACCTGTCTCTTATACACATCTAGATGTGTATAAGAGACAGGTATGGGGGAGCTGCACAAGATCGCCGTCCGCTGCATCCAGGTTCAGCCGTGGGTGTACTGACTGACGGCATCCTCATAGTCTCACACTACTGGAGACATCATCCGAACATAGAAACCCTTTGCACGGGGGGATCGTCTTCGTCCCATAACCTGTTTCGAACAAATTCGCAGCCGTGCCGGCGATTATAAATAGCCGTCCCTCGAAGAATGATGTGGGCGTGAGGCCAGCCGCGAGGTTGGAGACTTACCTGTTGGTCAGTGCGCGCATGGCTGGAGACGTGCTGCGCCTGGCCAATTTTTGAAGGGTCCTGGCCCCTATGTCTGTTAGCCCACAGTTCATAGGGGTACAGTCGGACCTAACAATATCATAAAGAAGGATACGACTGTAATTAACCATAGGCAGGATGTACCAATAGGAACTGATAACATGTCCTGAACTGTGTAACGACGTTTATGGACGGGGCCAGAGACTCTAACGCATAGAGAAGACGATACACATAGTAATTACCCATGGGCCCGAATCCGGGGAAGGGCCTGCGGAGTATTTTCGTGGTCACAAAGGGAACTACAGGGGTCGCTGCACTAACTCTCTGCTCTTTGAAACATTGGATTGGAGAGTGTTTTTTTTTTTTTTTTTTTTTTTTTTGAAGGGCCGCGCAGCACTCTGCTGCAACAGAGGCAACGCTGGAGGGGTCGAGCAAGCAAGCTTACCCATATGACCCCTCCGAAGCCCATAAAAATTAATATAATATTGTAGTGGCCCGATGGACCACAGATCAGATATTAAACTGATCAGAACAGATACTACACTTGAACTTAGCCAAAAGGCCGAGAAAGGTATTTGGAGAGTGTTTTGGTTCACGGCTCCACTGGCTCTGAACGCCCCGAAACTCCCTCCAATTCGTGAATGCATAATTGCAAAAAAACTGTCGGGGTTCGTGATTTTTGGTTCACTGCTGCACTAAGGGCATACTCACACAAAGGGACCTGACGACCATGAATCCCAAAATTTGAGGCAGTTTCCAGGTCACATTGGATAGGCCCGCTACCCAAATGTACGTTTTGGTTACCCTGTTGTCAGCAGCCTGAATGGCTGCGGGAGGACCCCTTTTGAGACCACCTCCAGAGGTGGGTGTTTTCAAATTACCTTTTCGATTTTTTTCTTTCAGAAATTCGTCCATGAGCGTGTGCGTGTTATTTCAGCATTCGGAAAAAAAAAAGTTCCATATATTTTTGGGTGTAACCACTGTGACTACGTGCAGTTCTGTGAGGCAGAAATGCCAGGACCGCGACTCTGTCCTTCGTGGACACAGAACTCGTGTGTGACCACACGCGCACCCAAAGGCACAAACACATGGTACCAAATGCCCCAGATATTTGTGACTTTACGTCCCTGTGTCAGTATATGCCCTAACTCTCCACTCTCCTAGACTCCAATTCGTAAGTGCGCTAACAGACGCGGTGACAGTGCTCGAGGACATGGCGTGATCTGCATTTTGTCCTCCCAGACTCCAGGGACACTCTCCAAATTCG